TAATAAAAATGAATAATATATATATATATAATTATTTCATTATATAAATAGCTGAATGCCCAACTTCAAGTCTTTTAAAACGTTGTGCATATAAGCTATTCATATAATATAGGTTATGTAACAACATTACAAAATACATAATAAGTTTACCATTATCCATAAAATGCATTGTGTGTAGCAAACTATATTGTTTCCAAAATTGTGTTTTTACACGTTTTTTGTCCCACAACTTCAGGGCATTTCCCATGTGAAAGAGAAGCTGCATTTCATGCAGATGGAGAATAAGGTCAAACACACTCAACTGGCGAAGACAGACACATTGGTGGCTCTTAAACGTGAAGTGCTGACACGTACTCGACAGGCTCGTGACGGCCTGCGTGCAGACAACCTTAAGCTGCAGCAGCGCTGTGGCCTGCTGGGAAACACCACACTGCTGCAGGACTTTGAGGAGAAGGTAGACACCTCCGAATGCCTGCAGCAGAGACTAGAGATGTTGAAGAGACGTCACGCTGAGCTCACGCTGAAGTGTGCTGGAGTCAAGCAGAAGATCGAGCAAAGCAAACCAGAGGGCCAGTGACAACACAGGTGCACGTGCTTCCCTTCAGTAATTGAGTTAAATGCAGTGAATAGAATGTAACTTGACAAAGCTTATCTTTTGCAAAGCGTTAAAGTTTATAGAAAAGTTTGGTGAGATATAATACTTTGTAATAATTTGTTATAATAATTTGTCATCTTAAATAGTATTCAAATAGTATTTATCTTAGTTATTTTCTTTTGTTGATTGTCTTGATTGTCACAGTACCAAACGTGCTTATAGAGGTTAGCACTCAATTAAAGAAGAACACATGACTTCTGTCATTTTGCTAGACTTACTACTTTAAAGGATGCTGCTGAAGTTTTTATTCTTAAGTGCAAAGCAGAAGAAATTCATGTATATGGAATTTCTAATCTACCTTATCAATTAACATCGACAGCAACAACATTTTTCATGTTTATATATTTTTACATATAAATTTAAACATGTGCATTAACAGCACCCAAACATTTGTTGAGACTGCCACCATTTTTTCTGTAGACAGAAAAAAAAAATTTGTTCACTTTAGATTTTGATTGGCCATTTGATTAAACTTGTCTTGTTGTCTATGCTGTTGACGTACAACAAGAATTTTACAAAAATATTCATAAGGATATTAATTTGTCAGTTTTGTGGTATGTTGTACTTTATTGGAAGTGCATAATATAAGACAATTATTATATTATTAAGTAGAACAAAAAACAATTTAAGAGTTTCTTTAATCAATCATGAAATTATGATGTGGTAAAATACCATATGTGGTGCTAATACTGCTTGAAGTTAATGATTAAGGTGCTGTGTAGCAATCATGTCGCTATCAGTAAAATCAATGTGACTGCTGTATGTTTACATGCATTATGCTGCAGTAAAAATAACACTACAGTTAGAAACGTTATTGACATTTAATGCAGAAGATTAAAGATATAGCAAACTCAGACAGTAAACATGCAGTCATTTGTCATGATACCATAACAATGAAAAATAATAGATCAGCACAAGAAGATTACTGAGCTAATTATTCAGTTATGAAACAAGGTAAAACACTGTCATTCCAGCTGCATCACCAAAGATCACGATCATTGATTGCCTTCATGGCACTCTTCACCCAGCTCAGCTGAGGACCCGCTCAGACACGATAACCCTTCTTTGTGACAAAACTGATAGAAGGAAAAGATCACAGTTACTCCACACAGCAATCATACAAACTTACACAATATAATGAATTTCCATTCAACAGTCTCAATGTTGACAAATTACACATTATTAAGGTTTATTACAGTCATTTGCATTATTGTCTTTTACAGAATTAGGAATGAAAATGAAAACAGGCAATGGCAAAACTCACATGACTCCAGGTTTGGCGCATTACATTCTTGTTGTCACCATGTAGGAATCAATTTTAGCGAATTGTTCTTCCATAATAATTAAAACAGCATTCGGTTGGTAAATTGGCATCTGTGCTGAAAAATGTCATTTATTTATATAATGGGCCAATTATTATAAAAACAGCAAAATTGGCCATATTTGTTATCTCAAATAGTATCTAATGCAGTGGTCTCAAACTTAATTCCTGGAGGGCCACAGCTCTGCTTTAGAGTTTAGCTCCAACCAGCTCCAACTCACACACCTGCTTGGAAGTTTCTAGTAATCCTGAAGACCTTGATTAGCTGGATCAGGTGTGTTTGATTAGGGTAGGAGCTAAACTTTGAAGAGCTGTGGCCCTCCAGGAATTGAGCTTGAGACCAATGATCTAAAGCTTTATATCACAGTTCTTTTCTTATTATGTTTATCACAGTGCCAGCAGATGGCGATATTTGTCACGTCAAGTCAACTGGGCAACCACTTCTGTCCATTCTAATGTGTTCTATTATTCTAATGCAGGGATGCCCAAACTCAGTCCTGGAGGGCCGGTGTGCTGCAAAGTTTAGCTCCAACCCTAATCAAACACACCTGAAGCAGCTAATCAAGGTCTTACTAGTCATACTAGAAACTTCCAGGCAGGTGTGTTGAGGCAAGTTGGAGCTAAACTCTGCAGGACACCGGCCCTCCAGGACCGAGTTTGGGCACCCCTGTTCTAATGTATTCTTGAAAGAACTCGATTTCACATATTTGACATTGAATTACAGAGGGTAGTGCTCAAAAAACAAATGATGTTTGGTTTTAGCACGTAACTTTTGCAGTGTCCGAGTGGAAAAACATGCTTCAGCTGTATTTTCTAAGCCGTTGCTGGAAGGTCATGGTGGAACATTTAAATAATTTTTAAGGTGTTTTTCATTTAACTTTATAGGTGATGCTGGTTTTGCTAATTAGACACAATCTATTTTAAAAACAATGAGCAGGATATGGCCTCCCACAGGAAATGCAGCTGAAGGTGGTACAGGGTCATAAGCGGTCGACCACAAATTCTAGTGCTCCGCTGACAGCTTCGAGGTGTTATCATCTAATGACACATTTGTATGCAGGTGAGAAACTAGTGCTATTAAAAGACAACACCACCAACACATTCTGCAATAGACAACATTTCGTTGTGCAATACTACTATGCTGATCTTTTAAAAATGTCCAAAATGATGCTAGGAATGCTCATATTCGTAGGCTTGTCTAGCCTGTTTTATTTGAGGCCCTTTTATACTTTAATGATCAAGTATAACTGGTCATCAGTTCTTTGAATGATCTTGCTTTCAGAAGTCATTTATTAATACGTTATGTGAAAAAGTTCAGTGCTGAGAGACTATGCAGCAACGGCACATAGGAAGCAATTTGATGTCTGCTAGCTCTAAAAAAAAACCTTATAGTAGTGATCTTGCATAAAAACAACACCTCATGATCTTGACAGGTTGTATGTGGAAGGAACATATTTTAGTTGTTTTTTAGCTGTATCTGTTTTAAATTATGCATCTTACTAGTATTACCAGTTTAGATCGAGTTGGCTTATGGAAATCCATGTGTAATTCTGGAATCCAGTCCCTAGTTCATCAGCACTGCAGTATATATTTTTATATTCTTTAGTCACAATACACCATTGTCTGTGCTGTGTTAGGTCTGCTGTACTGAATGCTATCCTCACTAGTTTAAAGGACCTTGTTGAATTATTTGTGCAAAACAGGAAATTAATACATTCTATGGACACAGAAAAGGTCAATAATTAGTAACACCTGAATAGATAACATGAGCATATGCATACTTACACTTACAGTTGTGCTCAAAATTATTCATACCCTTGGTAAATATGATCAAAGAAGGCTGTGAAAATCAATCTGTATCATCAATCCTTTAGATATTTTATTTTAAAAATTTACTAAAATCTAACCTTTCATTGGAGAACAAGAGTCTAAAATGGGAGAGAAATCCCATTATGAAATAAATGTTTTTCTCTAATACACATTGGTCACAATTAATCATACCCTTTTATTCAAATACTTTTTGCAACCTCCTTTTGCCAAGAGAACAGCTCTGAGTCTTCACCTATAATGCCTGAAGAGTTTAGAGAACATCTGACAGGAGGACTGCATGTTGATGCTTCTCCTCTTCAGTTCACCACACTTCCTGTTGGAAGATCCAACCATGGCCCATTATAAGATTTCTAGCATGGACAGTTTAAAATTTTTTATCCATTGGTATTTTATAGAATCCATTATGCCATCTACCTGAACAAGATATCCAGGATCTCCGGCAGAAAAATAGGCCCACAACATTAAAGATCCAGCAGTATATTTCATTGTACACATGGGGTACTTTTTTATCCCTGTGTGCACCAAAACCATCTTGAGTGTTTGCTGCTAAAAAGCTAATTTTTTAGTTTCATCTGACCATTGAACCCAGTCCCGTTTAAAGTTCCAGTCGTGTCTAGCAAATAAATATGCTGGAGTTTGTTTTTGGATGAGAGCATTTTCTTCTAGTTTTTTCTTGAAACCCTCCCAAACAACCTGTGGTGATGTAGGTGCTGTTTGACAATTTTTTTTAAGGTTTTCTGACCCAGAGACTCAACTATTTTCTGCAATTCTCCAGCTGTGGTCCTTGGAGAGTCTTTAGCCACTCAAACTCTCCTCCTCACCGTGCATTAGGACGATATAGACACACGTCCTCTTACTGTATTAGAGAAAAAAAAAAAATTCATAATGTCATTTTCCCCCACTTTCACTTTTTTCGTTTACTTTAAAGGGGGGGGGGG